TATGGAGATCGACTATCGATGGGCCATTCAGCTCGTTCAAAGTAAGGAGCCCCCGGTCCATCACCATATCGCTACTATCGACCTTCTCAAGAACCTCCTCAACCGTGACTGGGAGGTAGTTCTTGTAAGGATAGTTCAAAGAACCGCTGGTATTCAGAAAGGATGGAGCAAATCGATATCTTTAAAATTTGTAACACTCGAAGCGAACTCACGTCAATCCTAACAAAGCCAAGTATAACTATGCTAGGGATGTAGTAAAGTGGCTCGGTCGTATTTCACGGGTCACGATATCCTAGGCTACTTAGGCTCGGTTGTTATCTAGTCGACCTGTTACTTAGCAGGAGGGCAGTTGGAGATCAATGAACTAGAAAATGATAGGATGGAAGAGGTACTTGGAGTGCCTCCCTCGCCTTAACCACTAGAGATAACATGAAATGACAGAAAGACGCTTTATGGTAATCGAGGTGCAAAGATCGCTGATCTAGAGATTGGCTCAATAGTCATGCAGCTAATCCCCCTCCTACACCGATCCACTGGTCCAATGTCACCTCAGCTAGCTTCTCGTTGTATGGATAAAACCTGTATCCTTTAAATGGGTTCTACCAATTAGCATAGTAGGTCATCGAGTTGATGGTCACGCACTCGACACCCTAGCTTTACCTAGATGGACGTCTTATATGAAGGATTACGGTCGCCTCGTCCACCATACTAGATTCCTATACCATTAAATATTCATCTACACTAACATACCAAACCACTCAAATCCACTCTAATTCATACAATCCTAAGTACTAGGTTATCATGAAAAGAATTAGAGAGACAAGTTTGAAGCATAGTTAACATAGATAAAGGCATAAAAACTCTAGGGGTTCGTTTGGATAGGTCATTATGAGTTATTTGGGTCCCAATAACTCGTTTGGGTTTATAATTTGGGCATGGGTTATTTGGAAATAACCCGTTTTTTAGGTATTGTAAATAACACGTTTTTCGTTAAACAAACCGATTATGCCCCTTGCCTCTCTCCTCTCGCCTTTTCTTCTTCCTCTTTTCATCTTCTTCACCTCTTCTTTTCATCTTCTGCCCGAAATAAAAATCCAGTGAGAGGCGGATGTTAAATATGCAATCTTTGGATTCATTTTTTTTTTATGTAGGTTAGATTGAGTAGGCTCAAGCCTAGGTTGCGGTGGCAAACGAAGGCTTCCCTGGCGGCAGCGACTCCTCCTCTGGGGGTGACAGGGACGGTGACGACGATAGGGAGAATCATCGATCGACCATGGATAGATAAAACAGAGGATCATTTCTTTCTCTAGGAATGAGAGGGTATTGGAGGACAGCGGAACTTTTTCTTCATCTCGTGGAAATGGGAGTGTATGGAAGGGTAGATGGGTGTCAATAATTGAGTGCAAAATGGTATTCTAACTCAAATACCACAAGTTAAATACCTCATATGAATGGTTGATCCAAACAAGATAATTTAACTCATCAAATACCACTCAAATACCACAAAAATACCATATCCTCAAATAATGAGTTATTTGTGATCAAATACCACACAACAACAAAACACTCATCCAAACGACTCCCAGGTAAACTCAATTCATGCATAAATCCCTACCACCTAAGTTACAATTAGGGCCAATGGGATACATACAATCTCACACTACTTGATTCAGAGAAAGAACAAACATCAAATAGACATAAATAGATAGATAGGTTCATAATCATTTACAATCAAGGCTAAAACATCCTATTACATATCAAACCCTAGGTTAGGGTTTGGGGGACTAAACCCAAAGTATCTTGACGACTACCCCATGTAGGAGGGAAGAAGAGACATGGATAGAGGGTAAGAAATATAAAAGAAGGATCTTCAAGTGCTGAAAATCCTTTTCCAAAACTCTCCTTCACTTATTCGTCTCCTCTTCTTCTCCAACCTTATACTTCTCTCTCTAACATCACAATAAAATAATAAATTTGTCAAAAGACACTCTCCTCACAAAGGGAGGATTCTCCTATTTATAGAGTTATGAGAATTCAAGCAAGTTTGCGGCTGTAGGACGGAAGTTCGCGGTGTTGATTTGTGGGAGAGAGTCGCAATCTCGGATGCAGCGCCCTACTCCTTGCTGGCTTGGAAGTTCACGGCTTGATTTCACATTCGCAATTCGTGAGTCACGACCATGATCTTTCTTGCGATCTTGGACAATTGGAGCAATGAGTTGACTATCGAAACTCACTAGTCCTTCCTTGGTGGTTGTTTCTCAAGTTCACGGTTGGCATTCCCAAGTTCGCAGGCGTGAGCTCTACTTTGGAAGTCGCGATCTTCTAGCTTAACTTTGTGTCTCCTCTTCTCGGTCGTGATCTCCACCTTTTGGCCATGATCTCTCATTTTTTACTTTTTTTCCTTACACCTGTGACCGCTTTTTGTGCCTAAAATGCATTATCATCTAATATACTCTAAAATGACATAATATTTTCCAAGGAACGGATCAAGATGCATTTGATGAAATATCAACCAATGAGACCATGAAATGACTTGAAAAGACCCTAAATATAGGGGCTAAATAACACATTTTGGGTGTAATCACAAATGCATCCAAGTTAACCTTGCAAACTGGCAGTCCCACAACATATGCATGACCATTTATGACTCAAGGCTGCAACAGGTACACCGATTGCTACTGAACAGCTGCCGCCGATTCCGCTCCGCGTTGGTGAGGTGGCGAGTTAGAGGAAATGTTGAACCCTTGTTGGACATTGCCATCTCCATATAAGCTTCCAGTTGAAGTCCTCCCTCTGGTGGTCGTAGTTGACAACAATGTCATAGACTGACTTGACATGTATCTCCCGTCCAATTCCAGACCCAAACCGCAACGTCCTTTCATGCTCCAATATTGGAAATCGTCTATAAAAGTTTTAGATTTTAAATTTCCATAGGCTGACAAAAGTGTATTCTACAAAGTCCTACAAAATTTAGATTTGAAATCATCTATCAATATGCCATCTAATCGCTCAAAATTTATTATGATACAAGAAGGGATGAATTTGTAATTTTCCACAATTTGTCTTTTTTGTTTTCTTTGACTGGCATGAAATTCATAGGAAATGCCGCTGAGAGTCCAAGCAAAAAGAAGCTTCTAGAAGGTCCTTGCTTCGTCCCCAAGTCAAGGAGTCCGAGTCCCACTCGTACAAGGATATTTTTGGCCAACTTTTAGGAGAGAAAAATCCTAGAATAGCCCCTCTATCATGTAATATAGATAGATGCATATGCTAAGAGTTTAGGCACACCTTTTTACTAGCACTCTGCCCTCGCGAGTTAGAGATCCATAAGAGAGAAGGCAAAACCCAGTTAGAGTTCGACGAGGAGGTCTTCACCATTGATGTTTGTATCATTGGTGATGTCTTCCTACTCTATCATGGCATGCTAGCTCTATAGTGTTTATGGATGTGAATTCCATGATACTCATGTATCTTTCTATGATTTATGATATGTTTATTATATTCAATGCCCTAGTCCATCGACGCTTGTTTCTTTAGATGTTATAATGTATTCACGATGCTTTGTTCATCTATTTTTTATATTATCGATGCCCTATGTCACTCTACATTTTATTAATCAATGCTTATAATGCTAATTTATAATACTATAGCATCGGTTGTAATATCATATATGATGTTAAGAAACTACTTTCTTGCACTACAAGAAAAAGCTCTTTTTATCATGGGGAATCCCATGTTTAAATGCATGTTTCCCGTGAATAATAATTTTATTCACGGTAAAATTATCATAATATAAAGCTCTGTAACTAATTGTATACCCTGACTAGTTATATGTACCATGACTAATTTATTCCCGTGACTAGATATCAATCACTAGTCACGGTATCTATTACTTGTAGTGACAGTTTACCCCGTGACAAAATAATAACCACAAGTCACGGTATTTGACTATAGATTTTTACAACAACTAGTCATGATATTTTCCTCTGACTAATTACAATATATATGGTTCAAGCTAGCGTACACCTGGCGCAAGCAATACGCCTGTGTTCACACCTGAAGTAATTATTAATTATAATTAAATTAATTATTTTTAAAAACTAATTACAATCACATACTTTAAGTTTGTTGTCTATATGCTATGATCCCGTAAGTTACCGGTGGTTATTCTTCACCTTTCATTTAAAAATTGATTATATGACTTTCAATACCATCTTTCTGTCCTCGATGATTTGAAACACCCAAAATATTTGGTGATGGACGCTACCGCTTTGATTGGCCTTATGTATTGACTTAATATTCACCTAGATGCATTCTTCTCTGCCTCTGAGCACAAGTTTCTACATCCATCGCTTTAACCCCACGAACCATAGATTACTGGGATCTGGTAACGTTTCCAAATTTTTTCACCGACCACCACACGCCGGCGGCAAGTAAAGTATGGGAAAGGAAGCAAGGTCACATACTAGAAATGCCCTCTATTTTCCATAACGACAATAGGGGGAGAGTGACTGACACGGACAATGATGGTTTGAACACTTTTGGAACTTCATTGCAATGCCTGGGCAAGCTTTGCGAAACTGAATAACCTCCCTCTTCATAAATCGTACCCTACATAGAGGATATGAGACCATTTACTTGTTGTCATGTCTCATTGATGCTGATAACTAACAGGGGGACTTGTTCTTAAAACAAAGTTTCCAACTGGTTTAGGAAAGATCAGCCATGATTCCAATAAACAGGGAACCCTATCGACCCTTTTCAATTCCTTAGATAAATGCAATTCATTCATTTTAATGATTAAATAGAACCTACAATATGGATTCGCCTGATTATTCAATCACCATTCATATATGTGTCTACCTAATACTACTAACTCACCTCGTTACAAAATCAGAATTCAGAGCCATGAAATAGCAGAGCCAACAGCAACCCAATCTGTCGCAATGGAACCCAGAGGCGCGATCCAGGCTACCGTAAAGCCCGTCAAGGGGGGAGCTTATGGAGGCAATCTCGACGGAGAATTGCTTCCAGTGGCTAGCGTGAACAACCTCGACGAAGTTGAGCCACAGGAACAAGAAGTGCACCATCAAGCCTTCCAGATTGCCATTCTCCATCTGCTTATCAACGCCGCTGACCGTCGCCTCGTACTCAAGCTGGTAAGAATTGATCGATAATTGCAAGTCTCCGGCATGTACAACTCAAACTTCCCAGTCGATTTCTTATTCCATGTCTCCTTTGGGCAGGATCCGCAACTAGAAGTCATTGCAGTAGGAGGAGAGGCTGCTTCCGCGTATTCCCAATGTCGCCAGGGAGAATGGAAGCGGTGTCGAAGAGAAGAGACTCTGGCAAAGACTAGAGGCCAAGGCGAGTACGAAGAAGCCGTTCTTTGAGGGTTTTGGGAACATATGGAGAACTGAGGAGATGATTGATTTATGCATAATGTAGGATAGAAAATGTTGTGTGACTAAAACATAGAAAAATGTTTATTAACGGGTGTGGTTGTAATTATAAATCAAAATTAATTTATGAGTGTGAACACAGATGTATAACGTACGTCGGACATACGCTAGCCTTTGCCATATATATATATATGGTGGCTACTTCGGTGCACTCACTTTTTTGGTATCTCTAAAAGTGTCCATAATACATCAAATTTTGAACTTTAATTAGTATTCTCAATCAAATATGATGATATGACATAGAATCATAACAAATCAATCTATTACCCTAACCCTTTAACCTTCAATTTTGAATCCCAATGCAAAATCCAAACTGTAAACCTAAACCCTATCCCTAAACCCCTAAATCCTATATCCTTCAAATTCAAGTTAATTTTAAATGATTTTTTTTTTCAAATTCATGTGCTTCTTGTTCATAATATCATAAGCAACAATTTATACTGTTTTGACATGAATCGCATGCTCAGAATGATGATTATGAGAAAAGTGAGTGCGCCGAATAGCCACCATATATATACCAAGATTAATTATGAATTTTTTCATTACTAATTACATCAACCATTTGCATTGAAGTCTCTTGCCACCAAGTAACAACAAAATAATATTATTATCAATAATAGAAAGTCTCAAATATTATAGTCAATAATTCTATAATGTTACAATCAACATCACAATAATAGCTAGATCCCCTCAACAAGCTATCTAATTATTACTTTTATGAAATTAAAGTCAACATCAAGGTTGTCTATCTAAATTTAACGTTAGAAATTTCATCCTTCTTCTAGAAAAAAACCTGTGTCGTGGACTCCATCCGGGCTATCCTGTACTATTGTATCTACCAAGAACAACGATAAAATTACTAATATTATATACCTTGTATGCCTGATCTTCAACATTACAAGATGACAATATCGAACCTGAACCCCAAGAGAAGAAACAAATAAAAAGAAACAAAAACAAAGGCATAACATGGTAGCAATATTGAACTGTAAAGATGGTTTGGATAATCATGTATGGAATTCTCCCAATTGGGTCCTACTATTGATGCGCCAGAGAAGAAATCAGGGTCTAATTAAAATTTCAGCCCTCAATGACAATTCATTTGAACTCAAATCCAAAGAACATGGATAAAGAAGCTAGAAACTCAAAGAGGGACTTAAAAAGACTTACCAAAATGCCTTGTTCTCAAGGATGGAACTACGTATACACTTCATAACCTCTAAAATTTTGCTCCTCTTGTAGTTGTTCCTACAAATTGAATCAACAAGCCAGTTACACAACCACAATGCAGGCACTGAAAAAGAAAAAAATAAGAGACAAGATCAACATGCGAAACCGAATGACTCAAAGTAGCAAGAGACCAAGACAAGGATGACCAAGGTGAGGCCTGTACCTACCAAGGACCAGCCCAAACCAGACCTGGTCGACAGAACATTAAGAGGAGAGTTGCAAGCAAAAAAAAAAAGAAAAAAAAAACAGAACAACAGCAGGAGACCAACTCCAGGCAAAGAAGCCTCACACACTCTTGGCATAAAAACAGCAGGAACCCCACAACTCTACAAAAACACAGCCCACCTAAGTGATTTAGCAGCCTCAAAATATGTTTGCTAGGCACTGCAGGAGAACAGTCAGACTACACACAATTGAATGTTGTACTCATCACTGAAATGCAACAGCTAGAACAAACTTAACTCATAGACTGCAAGCCAAAATCCATATACATACATAAGCAATTGCTTTGACATATTTTTTGCTGCTGGAACTGCTTAATTACCTGTTTGACAACCTGCAAAGATAACAAGCCTTCAAAAGTCAAGCATCCATAAAGAAACATAGCCGTTTATGGCATTGAGAGATATGATACAAACAAAGCTGGGCTTATGGCCTTGAATCAAAGAAAGTTGGATTCAAACTAGGCAACATGTTGAACAAAGAGATGTGATTACCCTTATAATCTCTAGTGCAGAAGGGAAAAATATAAATGGACAATAATTATGGCCTTGAGAGATCAGAAGATGAATACTATTTTACCAAAAAAAAAAAAAGATGAATACTATACTTTCTACTAACCTAAGATAGAACTTTCATAATCGCTAGCAGAAAATTAATGTTCTAATAATGTCCCAAAGTACACTGAACAATTAATAGGTAGAGGGTAAGAACTCATGTCTTGATATCATGACTAGTGTAACCCATCTTTTAAATGCTCTAACCACCACACACTAGAGCAAAATATCATTCTATGGAAGGAGAAACTGAAATTTCTATAATGGAAACAAATTAGACTAAAAATCAATTTAGCCTACAAGAGAAATAAATGTAGCAAATCAGGCCCTCTGAAGAGTTATAGAGTAATCTGTACACAATACTTAGCATCACCAGCAAAGGATTCTACATTACTTGTACAACCACCTACCTCTCTTGTACAATTCATCATATTGAATGTAATGGACCTTAGGTTCCTTTCAAATCAAAGAAATCAAACATTTTCTCCGCATCAAACCCATTTGTCTCTGCATCAAACCAATACACGAAATCAACCACAAGTCAATATCATCCCAAATGAAGATCAGTAAGAAGTTCCATAAATATAATCTATCTTAGGTTTCTTTCCCTTCAACAGAATCCAAAATCTGATAAACCATCAGTGTTTTCCCATATCGATATGGTTTCAGCTTGTTGCCTTTCCTAATTGAGCACCAATAGTTCAGTATTCCAGGGGCAAGTCCTAAAACTAAAACTACCGAGGGAATATCAATACAACATACCTGGTTGTGAAACTAGGCGAGGAGGCAAATTGAGTCCTGCTAATCTAAAAAAAAACTGCCAATATGCTGGCAATAAATGACCTAAATTGTCAAGATAGTGGAAGCAAAACCATGAAAGATTTAATTGAAAGAGAGAAATAGGGGTAATTAAAACTTAACACATGGGCATCTAATCTCATACCTATCTCTACTCCTTTGAAATGCACGGTGGAAACAAAACCAAATCGATTGTTGCATACCTCCACAATGATTTGATTTTGCATTAGGACCTCCGCCCTGGCAGTAGCAACACCAACACCAGAAGCTCATTTTCGACGCCAACAGCAGCAGCAGCTCCGCCCCAGCAACATCAATACCAGAAGCGACATCTCCTCTCCGCTAGTAGCCACAACTCACCCCCGGAGTAAAAGCACCATTACTAGCAGCTCTGCCCCCACAGTACAAGAACTACCAACAACAGCTCCACCTCAGCGGCCGCACCTTCGCCCTGGCATCAAAAGCTGCGCTACGGTACGATTATGAAAATTGTTGGGTAGAGAATCAAAACGCTATGGGATTTGCTTCGAGTTCAGAAGAACCAATCCTTGAATCTAGAAAATGTAATTTGAGGAGAAGAGATAGTTTTCGTATTAGGTTTGGTTCCACTCTCTTCCATGAACAAACATAAGTGAGAGAACGAAGAGAATGGGGGAGTGGAAAGGGAAAGTGAAAGGGTAAAGTGACAAGGATCTCTATGTAAAATAAATTGGGGAAAAGGGAGCAAAAATTTCAGCAGAGCCAATATTCTGGCGCCCAAATTTTTTTTAGTTAAGGCGCCCAAATTTTCGGCAGCAAAAGTGTTTTTTTTTTTGACAAAAAAAAAAAAAAAGTGGAGGCGGGAAAAGAGTGCTGATAGCCAAAATGGAGCCCAAATTTTCAAGTGTCAAAACTGGGTTTGCAATTTGTGGGTATGCAAAATAAAAGAAGTCCATCTATATAATTAACCACTTTAAAAATTTAAAACTTAATATTTGAAGCCGTGTATCCATAAAATGAGGGAGCTCATTTTGAAAATAAAATCCCTTTTATTAAAATTTAATTTTTAGAATAATAAAAAAATTCATATATTCTAGGATTAATAGGCATACAAGCCCCTATACTATAGAAAGATAACAAATGAGCCCCTGTAATATATTTTCAATGAAAGAAGCCCATATCCTTTGTTTAGATAACAAATGAGCCCCTCCATCTAAACTTCCGTTAAGTTACCTGCCATGTGGAAAATTCACGCTGAGTCAGCAAAAAAATGACCTTGAAATGTCCTTTTTACCCTTATATCAATAATACAAATATACAATTCATTCTTGTATGATATATATAATAATAAAAAACTCCCAATTGTAAAAATAAAACGTGAACAAGAACAACCGCCGTAGAAGCCGACGCCACTCTGCAGTCCTCGGCTTTCGCAAAATTGACAGCATCGGACTGAGAATTCCGATCAAACTGGCTTTCCCTGCCCTCCCTTTTAACGTCCTTTTTTGGATATAGAAGGTTGGTTGCTGTGGATTGGATTTTACCCAGACGGTGAGTGCTCTCAATAAGAAACCCTATTATATATCTTTTCGGGAAGTAATTTTATTTTTCGTATCCTGTGTGTTCAGCTTTGAAATTTGGAAATACTGTACATCTATTGAAAACGACGAACTATTTGCATATAAGGCTGAACTCGGAAGCACATGCAATTGCAGAAGATAATATTAGGATTAAAAACTATAGTTTATGGAGTTGCTTTATGCTATTTATTGTTCCAAGGATTGTCGTTTGTGGTTATTGGATTTGATTGGGGGGAGTTTTGTGGGTTACTTGTATGGACTTTGTAGGTATATATGATGGTGGTAATATATGATTTTGTGGGTTATATTACCCTGTTTATGGAGTTGCTTTATTATTTAATTTCTGAAAGCTATTGATGGTGTTAATATATGATTTTGTAGGTGTTGTGTTTATGCGTTTGGTGTTGATGGGGATAACCATCTTGTACCATGATGGAGGGAAGTTTGTTAAACGAGGATATGATGTTGTATACGATGGAGGAAAGGAGATCAAAATTTCACAAATGGACACAGACATCAGCTATTTGTCATTTGTTCAGGTACTGCAAAAGGAAGGAAGTTATTTAGATCACTATAAATTGTACTTCAGGAATCTTGGTTTGAATGGGGTGGATCAATATTGTTTGATTCATGATGATGATAGTGTGAGAGAATTTATAAAAGGCTCCGTATACGATGTATATGTTGATCATGTCTTATGCGATGGTGTACTGGATGGAGGAATTGTTGCACAGCAAAACAATGTTGTTGGAGCTCATGAAATTGGTTTAGAAGTAGAAAATAAGAAAAAAATGGCAGCTAGGACCATCCATCAAAAGTTGTCGAAACAGGTAAAATGGTCTTTCCTCTTTCCCTTATAAGTTAAAAATTGGATGATAATGATTTGTTTGGTCTAAAGCAATTATTTATTTTGTAGGCTGAAATTCCACTTGAGAACCAATTAGGTGGATTGGGTGATGATATTAGGGAGGCTGTGAATGATGATTCACCAGATCCAACATGCGAATGGGATGAAGCATCAGATTTAGAGGATAGTGACTTTGAGATTGGATCTTGGGCAAGTGAGGATGAGATAGAAGACAGAACTGAAGTGTTGAACAATGTGAAGAAGTTCAGATTAAATTTGAAGAAAGGCATACCAATCACGTATGAAGATACCGATTACTCACATGCTGACAAAGACAATGGATTTAGTTCTGATGATTATGGTAGCTATGATGATACAGATGAAGAAGATGAGGTGGCAGACCATGGGGTTAGGAGAAAAAGCTACTACCCCAAATACAATCCAAGCACACCAACCCCATTTTTTGAGCTAGGCATGACTGTTGCTGATATACTTGAAGTTCGAGGTGCTATTAGAGATCATGCAGTGAATGATAACAAGGATTTGAAGATTAAAAAGAATGAGCTGAAGCGCTTCAGAGTGACGTGCAAGTGGCCAGGATGTTCATTTGTCTTCTATGCTTCATTTACCAAGAAGGCACAAAGATTGCAATTAAAAACTTTTAAGGTTCATAATTGCCCAATCCATTTCAAGAACAAGTGGATTTCTCCCACAATCATTGCTGCGAAGTATAAAAGGCGTATGAGAACGGATCCTCGATGGAAACTGAGAGACATCAAGCAGACCATCAAAGAAGAAATGGGGGTGGATGTAACTACTATGTTGTGTTCTCGTGCCAAGGCCATTGTCATGTACAAGACTCAAGGCTGCTACACACAAGAATATTCCCTCTTGTGGACCTACGGGGAAGAAATTAGAAGGAGAAATAAAGGATCGACGGTCAAGATTATGGTAGATCGACAAAATCCTGAACAACGACCGCTATTCAAACGGATGTATATATGCATTGATGCACTGAAAAAGGGTTTTCTGGAAGGCTGTAGGAAGATTATAGGATTGGATGGGTGCTTTTTGAAGGGCTTATGCAAAGGGGAGATACTTGCTGCCATAGGTAGAGATGCAAATGACCAATTGTATCCGGTTGCATGGTGCGTTGTAGAGGTGGAGTCTAGAGATTCTTGGGATTGGTTTCTACGACATTTGCAGGATGACTTAAACATTTATAATGGTCGTGGCTGGAGCTTCACATCAGATCAAATGAAGGGAACCCCATTTTTCATATTTAGTTCTAATTTTTAGTTCATGAGACATTTCATCTTACTATTACGAGTGTTGTTTGTAGGGATTGGTTCCAGCAATAGCTGAGTTATTTCCGGATGCAGAGCATAGGCTATGTGCTAGGCACATATACTGTAACTGGAGGAAAAGGTTCAGGAAGCAAGAATGGCAAAAAATATTTTGGCAATGTGCTAAGGCTACCACTTTAAGAGGCTTCAATCGTGCCTTTGAGAAACTGAAAGCACAAAATAGTGACGCTGCAATCGCAATGCTTTCGGTAGACCCAAAATTCTGGTGTCGTGCTCATTTCTCAACTCATATAAAGTGTGATACAGTAGATAACAACATGTCTGAGAGTTGGAATGCCTTAATCATTGAACCTAGACACAAGGCTATACTAAGCATGCTTGAAGATCTTCGAATTATGCACATGGAAAGGGTAGCACAAAAGAGGGTGATTGGGGCAAAATGGGAATCCAATATTTGTCCCAAGCCATTGAAGAAATACACGAAGAATGCAGAAGAGGTTCTTCTGTCACATTGTTGGAAATGGGAAAAATGGTTATGAGGTTACCCATCGTGATGATCGATTCACATTGGATCTTGCTGCCTTGTCATGCTCTTGTAGGGCATGGGAATTATCTGGAATCCCGTGCCCACATGCGATAACATGTTTGGTGTATGAAGAGAAAGATCCTCTGAAGTATATTTCAGAATGGTTCTCCATGTCCAAATTTTGGAGCACATATAAGCATGTAATGATCCCAATGGCAGGGCTTTCATCTTGGGAGCCTAGTGAGTACGAGCCATTGCTCCCTCCTGCATTTCATAGAATGCCTGGCAGACCAAAGAAAAAAAGAATTATCACTGCAGAAGAGAGGGAAAACCGAAAGAAGCCAAAGAAGCAACGTGTGTACAGTAGAGAAGAATTATTGGCACCGGATAAGAATGATCCCTCCAAGTTGTGTCGAGCAGCTATAGTGATTACATGCAAAGAATGTCGTGCAGAAGGACACAATATTCGGACATGTCCTGTGAAGAAAGCCAAACAGATGGGAGGTAGCACCAACTCTCAAGGAATAAGAGTAAGTGGGAGACTTCTTAATTATATTGTTTGCTGCCTCTTTTGACAGAATTAAAGACATTATAATGGGTTTATGCTTTATCACTCATAACTTGCAGCTTGGAATGTCAACTCAGATGGTGGCTGATGTACTACAAAGGCATGACCAATATGTAGCCTTGAATATGGGACATGGAGGAACACAAGAAAGCTCCACCACCACGACTACAGAACTCTAGAGTACTTGCATCTATTTAAGAGTTCAGCAGCTATTTGAGAGTAGAGAGTTCAACAGCTTACAATGGTTATGGATTTTGTTTTATTGATATATGAGTTGAGACACCTATGTTTGTGCAATATATTATTGTTATTGCTTCTTGCTTTTTTTTTAATAATTAATTAAGGAACAACAAGAATTCATCTTCCACGTTGCTTCTCACTTTTAATTGTGAAGCTTTTTATGGCTTCTCCCTTTCCATAGCAAGAGCACGATGTTGCAGATGGGGTAGGAAGCAATTTTTATTTTTTTATTGTTATTTAGTATATATCATATGATAATGTGCATTTACTCGGTCCTCACTCGGCAATTAAGAGGGCAATTTTTCCAAGCGACCCAATTACAAAATATAATTCCGTCCCCAGAAGCCAGAAACCTCTTTCTCTCTCTACCTTTCCCTTTTTTTGCCTTATCTGTATCCCGATAGAATCCCTAGTTCCCTACCATCTATTGTCTTATATATGGTGTTCATCCTCTGTAGCTGCCCTTCAATTTACCCATCAAAAACTAATGATCGATTCCTTTCTAGTTGACCAGCGATGAAAATAGATAGGACAGAGTTGTCCCCGGAGGAAGGAGACGAAAATGTGCGAACGAATCACGGCACACTCCTGGGCGATTTAGCGGCAACGCTAATGCCTCTCATCACATATATTGCTAGCGGCAAAGAATCCCCCACACACCATGAGTCATGATCGCAAAAGGAAGCAGATATGGGTTTTGCATGCTTCCTCGATCAATCAAAACCAAGGTTTCCATCTCCTTCATCACATCAACGGACACCATCTGCAATTTCCTACTGTCTGTGTAAAATCTATTAGTCTGGAGGTAGGAACAAAGTCGTCTTAATGCATGGTAACTGATAGCTAGACCGACGACTCCGGCAAGGATGGCAACCGGCAAACTGGGAGAAAGATGACAGATCACAGAAGTAAACGGCTAGCCACGGATAGACTCTATGATGGCATGGTGAGAATTGACAGCGATGATGGTGGCAGGCGGGGGCAACAAGGAGAGAGGGACTTGTTACCGATGGACGAAAGAAAGGAGGTATTTGGGATCTCAGGATTGAGCTGAGAGAATGGTTGTTGGGCGGAACAAGCAAATCCGATCCGCGCTCTTGCGAAAAGTGAGTTCGCGAATTTTGGACGATCTCACTAAAATTCGCGTTTCCGGCTCTAAAGCGGGAGCGGCAACCCAAACATGGCGAATTAGGTTACATAAGTCAGGTTGGGAGACTGGAAAATTAAAGGTACTAGTTATAAGGGTAAAAAGGACATTTCAGGATCAAGTTTTTGCTGACTCAGCATGATTTTGCCACCTGGCAAGTAACTTAACGGAAAGATTGATGGAGGGGCTCATTTGTTATACAAGCCTATAAGGGCTTCTTTCGTTGAAAATATACTACAGGGGCTCATTTGTTATCTTTCTATAGTACAGGGGCTTGTATGCCTATTTATCCTATATTCTATAATTAATCATGTTAAACTTAAAAAGATAAGTATTATCATAATAAATTTGCACTTATCATATTAAAAAAAATCTTTGTCTATATGACCTAAACCTCCCAGTAATAAATTGACATATTGTTCACGGTAATTAACCGTGACTAACAATTAATCACGGTAAATAAGGACTAAAAAATAAGTAAATTAGTTTTCGTGATCAAAACTATACAATCAATTGCATGAAATTTTCCTGTGACTGATTGTATACTTCTTAGTACAGGAAAACTTCCCGTGAATAAGATCCCGTGATTAGATACCAATTTTCCTGTAGTGTTGGGATATACCATTGCCTCGTGCATGCTTGCTTAGTTGGACGTGATTATTCATGTATATAGGAGAATCATTGATTGTTAGATCATTGATACTATAGACCATGAGTTATGGATCAATAGTCTCACACTTAATCATGTGCTATTCTTACATCCTTTCTCTTAGTTAGCTAGGAGATTGCATGAAGCAAAAACACGCGTTAGCTGGTTATTGTTCCTTTCACATGTGGTGAAAGCTCGGTTAGGAATGCATTCATGGAAGGGATATGGTATCATAAAAGATGTTGCATTGAAGCATCTTGTTAATGAAATTGTATGCATGATCATCTAGATAACACTAGCTAAATAATAGTTTTAATTTCAGTTTCGTTCATTCTTTATTTACTTTAGTAGAGTAGAAATTGGACCAAGTGCACCTCAACTCATAGTTTTTACTTTAGTAGAGTAGAAATTGGACCAAGTGCACCCAAAATTTTCTGCAGCTTTAGTGACCACCCAAAATCTGTCACTAAAAGCCTGTAAAGTTCAACCACCCGAAACTGATTAGACCAATTTATAGTTTAGGGTTAGGGTTTCAATATTAGGGTTTGGGTTTTGTTTTAGGGTTTAGTGTTAGAGGTTTGGGTTTACGATTTAGTCTGGGCGGTATGAATATTTACTTTTACATGAACTGATATTATATGCGATAAATATTAGTTTGTGAAGTAATGGATATTGTGTCTTCCATCAAAACCTAACTCATAAGGCATGCAACCTACGTTAGGGTTGCCCGCCGAGAGCCCATGGGCCGAAGGCCCATGAAACACTTATAGTTTTTATGGTTTAGTGTTTAGTGATTAGGGTTTTAGTGTTACGGTTTACGGCTTATTTTTTAGGGTTAAGTGTTTAGTTTTTAGGTTTAGTTATTAGTCTTGTGGTCGGATATTAAACTAGGTGGTGGTTGAATTTGTTTGCAATAAATGGATATTATTTTAGGTGGTTTGGCTGTTAGCTTTCGTTTGAATTGATATTAGTTAATGTTTTTGGATATTTGTTTGGGAGGTTTGGATATTCTAATGGGGCACTTTTTGTAACTATTACGATGTGATCCTTTATTTATTTAAACATCTAGCACTTTGGTAACTATTCGGATTAGTGTACAAATATCAGATATTAGTCAGTGTGTGGTGGATATTAGTCTGTTACAGTTATAATATTATTTTGGGATCATAGGATATTTTTCGGAGATGTTGGGATATTATTCTGGATGGTGTGGATATTTGTTATGGTGAACAGATATTAGTATGAGTGGGCCCAGATCAGTTTTGGGTGGAATTTTGGGGAAATTGGGGAAAGAAATCCCAATTTGTATCCAAAAATCAAAGTTATGGGGCAATTAATGCCCGAACCACTTTTTCTCTCTCAACTCCTCTTTCTCTCTTCTTTTTCTCTTAATTCTCTCTTCCCCTCCGATGGAAAAGACGCCGGCGACGACCTTCATCCTTCTCTTCATCCTCCACCGTTTAGGGAAAAGTCTCCGACGATGATCGATGATGAGAGCGAGTTAGATCGTCCAGCAACGAGCTCGTCCCATGAAGAAGACGAATTTGTTGATGATCTATTAGATGGTTTGAGTCAAATACATGGTGGTGGTGTGCTTTGCTTGATGGAACAGTAGAAGAAGAAGGTGATTGTAGATTGATATATATATATATATATATATATATATGTTTGTGCTGTTGAGTTGTTAAATTCTGGTTAGGAGCATTGAATGAAATTTAATGCAGTTGGTGTGAGTATAATATTGGTCGTCCTGGGATTCTATTAAGAGCGAGTTGGATATGATTTACCTAGTGTTTGTTGGACGTAGTGTGTTGCCTCTGTTTATGTTGTGTGGATACCAGTCTGAGCCTTTTGGATATTTACTAAAGTATTGTGGATACTAGCCTGTTGGATTATAGTATGGATACTTGTTTGGAGCCATCCGATACTATTCTTAGATTCATGAAACATGAGCTAGCCTCCTGTTTACGGATTTTATTTAGATGTATTCTGGGTATTTTTCTTGGCGCTTTGGATACTAACATGTAATGGAAATATCTCATAGCTCACAACACTTCAGACCTAGAAGATGAGCAGGCACGGAATAACATATTTTTTCACACTAAGGACGAGTGTGTTCATTTCTACGAACGCTATGCTCACAAAAAGGGTTTGGTGTTCGAGTATATTCGGAACACTTGAGAAAAAGGGTTTGGTGTTCGAGTATATTCTGTAATAGGCAAGGCTCTACTAGTGAAGTCAATGTTGATAAACAGAAACAGTCTGAGGACAAGGTTGTGGAGAGAAGCCGCCCTTAAAGAAAGAGGTCTCGAATTAGGGTTGGATGCACCGCCCGTGTTCGTTTTCTATGGGATGAAAAAATGGCTGGATATGTGGTGCACAATTTCGTTGGAACTCACTGTCATGATTTACACTCCACCGCACAGACTCACCTATTAAAGTCAAACAAGTACGTGAGTGATGCTCAAGGACTTGTTGCTGAAGCAAATTGCAACGCCGGGATGAGTCTTAGGTCATCGTATAAGCTACTGGCTGAGTGTGCATGCGGGTATGAGAACCTGACTTTTACCAAATCTTATCAGAATAACCATTTGGACAAGAAAAGACAAAAGGATATGCCTCGTGGCGAGGCGACTTTCTTGCTTGACTACTTTGACGACCAAAAGGAGAAGTATACATGCTTCTTTTATGCTGTAGAGGTAGATTGTGAGGAGAAAGTTGACAGGGCAGATAGTAGGATGCGTGAAGAATATGCACTTTTCGGAGACTCGGTCTCTTTCGACACCACCTTCCGAACTAATAAACACTTCCGGCCATTGGGTATGTTAATCACCTAATTTCCTTATTTTTTTGGATTGACATATATATGTGTTTGTATTGTTGAGTTGTTGAGTTTTGGTTGGGAGTATTCAATGAAATTTAATGTTGTTGGTGTGAGTATAATATTTGTTGGTCGTCCAGAGATTCTATTACGAGCGAGTTGCATACGATTTACCTATTGTTTGTTGGACGTAGTGTGTTACCTTTGTTTATGTTGTGTGGATACCAGTCTGAGCATGTTGGATATTTACTGAAGTATTTTAGATACTAGCCTGTTGGATTATAGTGTGGATACTTGTTTGGAGCCATCTGATACTATTTTTAGATTTATTGAT